TCCTTGTGATGACAGTTTCTTGGTGACCACATTTAGGGAGCAGTCTGACTACTGCTTAGTGGTTTTGTTTTTTTGTGTTTTTTGTTTGTTTATTTGTTGTGTGTGTATGTGTTTTAAGTACTTTGACATCCATTAGAAGACAAAAACATTGTTTTATAACTCTCTCTAAATAGAACTGTTTACTTCTGACAGTATCCAAAATTTTGAGTCAAAAGACAAAAAAGTAATTCTGAGTTTTGTTCCTTTTTGTGTCAATGCTTTACTTCAGTTTGTTGTGAAACTGTCATGTGCAAATAATAAATTCTGAATTCTCCTCCTGACGTTGATTGTATAATAGTCCGTCATCACTGGAAGAATTTATTTTTAAACCTTTTTTAATTTTTTTTTAATTTTTGTGTGAGTGTACCATCAAATCAGATCTGACTGGTACAGGAGGAGATTGTTCCTCCTTTTCCCGGCAGAGCATCTGGTGGATTCGAACCGTGTGCCTCTGGGATTGTAGTTGCAGCTCCTTGCCACTAGGCCACCAGAGCTCCCCAATAATTTATTTTTAAACAATAAAAACCGGTTATTTCTCATATGGTGATAAAATATTGGAAAATAGAAAAATTAGTAATATTCATGTATAACTATAGATGTACACATTTTTTTCCTAGATTTTTTCCTATATTGTAGAAATTTGTGTTACGAGTAAACCCCAGTAACGAAGAAAAGAAAAAAAATTAAAAACTAGATCAATTTGCGAGTGGAAAGTGACCAGAAAAAAAAAAATCATTATTATTTAAAGCAGTGGCAACTTCAAATGGAACAAGTTTATCCATTTATTCTCAACACAATTGAATTTTTAAGTCACTTTACCTTACTATATTTAAGTATGATAAGAAGTGAGAAGAAAAGAGTGAACTGGTGCATTGTTAGAAATATGGAATGGTTCAAAATATTAATGTAATGCTAAGGGTGACTGGGTAACAAATGGTACATTTGCTCGTTGCTCAACCTGACATAATTAATATTCTAGGTCATGCTTAAGTTCCCATGATAGAGGGACTGAAGGGGAGAATTCAAGAAAAAAAAATATATATCTATTATATAACTCATTGACTTTTTTTTCTTTTGACGAGTCAGAATCATAGCCTTTAAAAAAATCTGTGCTTTCACACCTCATTTGCTGTATTCACCACTGGGCCACCAGTCAGCAGCTGGGTCTGATGCAGGGAGGTCAGTAAGAAGCTATTAGCAGAGTTCTCTCCTGAGATTTCTTGGGTCTTATTGAGTTGGATGTTAGCATGACAGTACTGAAAATAACTCAGTTGTAGTTTCTTTCTTTCTCTTTTTTTTTTTTTAAACGGTTAACACAGATTTCCCCATAGTGTTGGTCACTCTAGAAAATTATTTCCGAAAATGAAGTCCCAGAAAGCAAGCCTGGCAGTAACCCTTCTAAGTAGTGAAAGATGTGAAAACAAACCATTATTCTTACATTATTCTTGTAAGGTGCCTTACAGATTATGAAATGTTGCAATTGAGGAAATAATAAGCTAAAGTTATTTTATTCACTTAAAGAAATATCAATAGTATGGATACTGGATCAATATACATAAATAAGATATCTTTATGCTCTAGGGATTGAGGATGGGCTTAACTGTTTTCATTGGTGTAAATTATCAAATAAAGTAATTTCTAAAATCTTGACACCTTGAAGACTTCAAATAGGTACATTTTAAATTCAATTAAAATATATTTTCTATCCATATTTGATTTAAATTGCAAAGAGAATACACATGAGAAGGTCCCCAGATAGGTTGCAAAATATAATTTAAGAAAGCTATCATATCTACTGATCTATTTGCATTTCCCATCTACCCTATGTATACATGTGCATGCAAATGTGGAAAAGATCAAGGCTTTCTAATGGTGTTCAGCTAATGGCTGCTTGCATTTTTACAGATAGTTACTTTTCAGTAATAAACTATAATTCAGTTAAATTCTATATATTTCACTGTGGTAAACTGCAAGTCTATAGAAAATTTAGTAATAGTGAATATAAATTTAATTTAGTCACTAAGCAAAATGCTATTGTCTTATATCTCTCCCATAGACTGTGTAGACAGAGTTGTATTTAATGTCAGAATCATCTATTTTAGTAAATCTTTTTTTCTATTTGGAATTGATACATGCTGCTCTTATACAATCACACTAAAAATAAGCTTAAAAATCACTATTCACTGAAAGTTATTATGAATATATGTATTTTATTTTTATATTCACTTATCTACCTATAATCAAAACTATTCTGCATTTAGAGGTATGAGAGAGCATTAGTTAGCAAAATACCATTAAATCTTAGGTATAAAACTGTCCTCAACAATTTTTTTATATTTTCTTCTTGTATCAATTAAAGAGCAAAAAAACTCCTTAAAAAAGAAGTTCAAATATGGTTTTAAAATACAAAAATATGTTTATTTCTCTTTACTTATTTGTAATAAAATTCAATTTCTAATTCTAAAATAGGAAAAGTTGAATTGGACCTGGGCTATCTGGGTCAGGAACAGTGTAGTTCTAGATGATAACAATGTGTTTAAAAGTGGTTGAAAATGGATATATTAAGAAAGAAGGGAGTTCTTTGGAAATCAATCAATATGATTTTGAAATAAATTTCCAACTTTTGCTATATTTGAGAGTATCAGTAGCCTAGTGGTAAGAAGTTGTGTTGCAATCCCAAAGGCACACAGTTTGTATTCACCAGCTGCTGCTCTACAGAGGAAGGATGGACTATCTCTTCTTCTGGGATTGACTGCTTCTGAAAACCTGCTGGAAAGTCAGTTATGAATCAGGTCTGAATGGATGGCATACAGCTATAACAACTAAGACATTTATATTACTTTTGAAAGAGATAATCATGGGCCTTTCTTGTTATATCAAATAAGCATTCAGTATTGGAAGCAGGAGTGGCATCCACTTCCTAAACAACATGGCTCTGGAAACTCTATGAACTTTGATAAAATGTCGTTAGTTATAGAAAGGCTTCAGGCTTTTTGTTCATAGGGTCACTATGAGTCGTGATCAACTCGAAGGCAATCAACAATTCATTTATTGAGTGTTCACTACTTGTTGGACACTCTGCAAGGTCTTAAATGCAAAATGCAAAAGGTAGAATCCTGATGCACCAGATTCTTGCTTTGGTAAGATAGGCACACACAGAAATAACTAGGAAGCTCTTTCCCTCATCTATTTAAATGCAATGTTCATTATTTATCCTCTCTTTTCTTAGTTTCCTCCCAACCTCCATGTCATTCCTGTTTTATAACAGTGACACAATGCAGTATTTGTCCTTTTATGACTGAGATATTTCACTCAGCATAATGTCCTCCGGGGTAACCCATTTTGCAAAATATTTTATGAGTTCCTTTCTTTTCAATGCAGCGTAGTATTCCACTGTATGAATATATCACAGCTTTCCTATCCATTCATTGGTTCATGGGCACTTGAATTGCTTATATCTCTTTGCTATTGTGAAAAACATAGCAATAAACATGTGTGTGCATATATCTGTTTGGGTGGAAGTTCTGGTTTCTTTAGGGTATGATTCCCAGTAGTGCAATTGCTGGGTCTAATGGTATTTTTATTTCCAACTTTTTGAAAAAGGCCCATGCTGCCTTCCAGAAGTGGTTGTCCCATTTTACACTTCCACCAACAGTCAATAAGGGTTATATGATTAGGTAGGAGTTGTATTACAACAGTCCAGAATAAGAGGTGCATTGAAAAGAGGGCTGGGGGAGATGGGAAAGGAAGTTGTGCAACAATGAAAAAAATCTTTTAAAAGGGAAAAGTGACTTTGGGAGGGGTTAGGGAAGAAACTGTTCAACAATGAATGAACAGAAATCCAAATTTTCTGTGAACTTTTGTTAAAATATCAAGAAAATAATGTAATCATAAGAAGAAGGAAGTAATGAGCAAGGATGTCAAATGCTGCTGAAAGGGAGAAAAAAGACCAATAGGGAGAACTGGATAAACTGATCAACATAGAGAATCTGATCATATTTCTTGAAGCCATTTTAGTGATATTATGAAGATAGAATCAAATTTGTAGGCTGTTAATGGAACCCCAAATGTACTTTGGATAGGGGAGGCATAGTAAGTATAAATTCTCCCCCATTAAATGTTGTTGTTAAGTGCTGTCGAGTTGCAGGCGACTCATAGCGACCCTATGAAAGAGAGTTCTCAACACTTGTGTGTCTCTCATCCTCTCTCCAGGTTCATAGGGTTTCTGGAGGCAAGTTATTACAGAAGTGGATGCTGCTCCTGCTTCCAAGCTTGTTTTAATTGGGGAGTTTCACCCAACACTGTCCACCATGGGTAACCAACCATTAATGCATTTGACACATCAGCGTCACAGAAAATAATTAAATAGGTCAGTCATAATCTATAGGGCCCTAAGACCAGAGAAGAAATGTTGGGTTCAGGTCTGAAATAGATGTGAGCAATCATATGAAATAATATGAGAAAGGCAATCCTTAAAAATATAACAAAAAATAAAATAACTAGGAAGCAATGTGATTGATGGATGCTATGACGGCCAACTATCCTGACCATTAAAGAAGTATTAGGGATAAGGAACCAAATCCTGCTTAGATAAGTTGTAACATAATGTTAGGTAGAAAACATACAGTTTTCCATTGTCAGTAGCTAAGATAGGTTACTTGTTCAAATCCAGAGAACCAATGAGCTAAGAGGCAATTGCAGGATTGAGATTGAGCAAAAAGCAAGCCAGCTCTGCCAGACTTTCTCATAAATTCTGTGCAGGCCAGACATCTGTGAATTTGCCACTCAACCAATTGGCTGCATATTTTATTACATAAAACCTCATCAAGATAATGCCAATTATAATTGCTAAACCAGAGCAGCCAAGTTGATACACAACCTTAACCATCACATGTAAGATATCATGCCCAAATTTTATCTTATTTCAGATGAAAATGAAAATGTCTTTCTTCTTCTTTTAGATCCCTGGAATATATAATTCGCCATTCAGAAAAGAGCCTGACCCATGGGAGTTGCTGTTACAAGAGGCAAAGCCTTTAAGCCACAAAAGACCTGCAGCAGCGCAGAAGCACACCATAGACCTTGACAACTGGATAGCTTGCACAAGTGCTCGCTCTTTCCCTCGGTCTGACGTTCTGCCACCCATTCATGGGAAGAAATATCAGGTACTCATTAATCCTAGAAGAATTCTGGCAATAAAGATATATATTTAAATTATTTTATTAAAATTTGTTTGCTCACAAAGTTCGTATACATTGTGTTTCACACTATTTTTCATTCATATTGTGTTTCATATAATCATTCCCATACAGTATGTTTTATAAAATCAATCACCATTGGACCTTACCCATCATTACCCTAACTTTTCAGGTCCCCACTGGATCCTTCCTATTTTCTTAACCCCCTCCCTCCACCCAACAAACTGTGCAACCCTGTGGTTTTTCCCCTAACCAACCTCACCCCTCTGTTTCCCCCTTCCCCCCCTTGCATCCTTATGCATGTTTTACTAGTTATCTTTCTATTTTTACAATAATGGTTTTATGCAGTATTTGTCCTTATAAGACTGAGTTAGCTTACCCAGTGTAATGCTCTCCAGTCTCTCCTAAGTTATTTAGAACACCTTGCTATGTTTTTCTTACTTGTTTCGGTTGGTTCCTACAACAACAAAAACTATTTTTTTTAAAAAAAAATCTAATATTGGGCAATAAACATAAAATACTTTATAAATACACACCATGGAAGTATAAAAATAATTCTTTAGTATTGTCATCTTTGTTGTCTTGACTGTGGAGGTAAAATATGGACTAATGTCTAGTATCCAGTTTTTAATATAAAAAGTATTATAACAATAGTTGTTATAGCATTGTTTCTGGGAAGATTATCAAATTCATATAATTTAACTTTTCATGTAATGATCCATGCATGTTATGCCATTTGAAAAATCACTTGCCTTTATGAACTTTGTAAATAAACCAGTATAAAATAAAAATTTTATTTTAAAAAAAAAATCACTTGCCATCGAGTAAATTTTGACCATGATAGTGACTTCATGTACACCACTGGGTAACTCATAAGCTGCTTTTCACACTGCCAGGCATTTAATCAATCACATATTAGGATAAATCTCCATTCTCTGCAGTGAAATATTTTCCAATTGTTGACCATTTGGATAGCAACTGAAGGCTAAACCACTGTCCTTAACAATCCACCTTTGAATATTTAATCCACATTTCATGCTGTATTCATAAAAATAGTTACTAGACCTGTATGGTATTTATACAGTAATTACACGAGCAGATTATCAGGAAATTATCCACGTCCTCTCCCTTCCTTATATTCTTTTGTGTGTTTTTTTTCTCTTCTTTCTTTCCCATTCTTCTATACTTTCTTTCTATTTTTTTCTTGTTTTTCCTTTCTCCTTTCTTCCTTTTCCCCTTCCTTCTGTCTTTGTCCCCATCTTTCTTTTATTTTATTCCCCCCCCCTTTTTCACGAGGGCTTTGAATCAATTCTTGCCTTCACCATTGCTTATGGAAGAAAGGAACTGACGAGATCCAAAGGTGTAAAATGTTGGTCTACTGGTACAGGAAAAATTGCAGGTCAACCCTCTGCTCAAGTTTACTCTCCTGCTTAGAAAACAAGGGCAGTGTACAGTGCTTACCTCAGAGATGGTGCTGACACACCTTTAATGTATGTCACCTTGCTCAGTCTTGACAATAATACAGGACAATAATCCTGAAATTGTCCCCATTTCCCCCCTTTATCATTCCAATACACTCACATTTTACAAATTTGTGTCTTCTGAATCTATGGCAGTGACCTTGAGTGAACTACTTTGAAGCCTGATTTCCCATTGAATGGATTGTTTTATGTCATGGTTTTCTTTTAACAACATTCCTTATGCTATTTAGTAATAATAAAGTTACATACATAGTTGGGGATATTTTAAATTAATACACTATGGTTCAAAGGATACTTTTGTATTCCAGTCACTTTTTACTTGACTATAAAGTAATATTAATTATTAAATATATAACAAAACATAAATATAGTTGTCTCTTAAAACTAAGACTTCAATAGAGCCAAGGAACAAACATGTAGAAACCAAAGCTAAGTGGCCAAGACCTATAGGTTTTGGCTGAGTCGGGGTTACTTAGATTTTATGGAATGAATTTGGTAAATTAGTATATTGAATAGATCTGGAGTTTTGTCTCGCACCTGTGATCTCAAGACATTCTTGATGTGCTTGGAAAGTGATTACCTGAGATGTAAATAGTAGGCTAACAGTAGGTAATAGCTAGTAACTAAGACATTGTGGCATAATAGAAGCTTGTTAGCAAGCATCAAGTTTGCTATTCAGGGTGGTGGTTATTTAGATCCAAGGCCAGACATTGATTATCCAAAGGCATAAACACTTGGGCTGGAAACCAAAGTACAAAGAAAGAGTCATATGTGTGAAAAAGTTGAGGTCATAAAAATGCAGTTAAATAAAAAGGAAGAAGACTTACTCTCTCTTTAAATTGTTTCTGAAAGAGGGCTCCTTTTCTGCCCCAATTTTAGTGTTACTGTAATTTTAGTTACTGTAACTGCAGACTTCTGGGGAGGGAGGGAAATGGAATAAACTTGCAAATGGTATATGTGTTATGTCAATAGAGAAACAGAAGTTACAGGGCAGAATTTGGTATGCTGGCCCCTTCAAAGTCATAGACCTGGAATGTCATTTGCTTATTTGTTCAAGCCTATTAGTTTTCCAAATCTCTTACAAGAGCTTCTTGAAAGCAATAGCAACAATGAAAATAATGATAAGACAATAAATAGCTACTACTTTTATGTGTTCACTATATTCAAAGTTTGATGTTGTATTCTTTTACAAATCTTCAGTGCAATTTTGTGAGATAATTGCTATTCTCATTTGACATATGAGGAAAGAGGCTTAGGGAAGTAATTTGTCTCCAGTTATATAACCAAATGCCAGTATTTTAAATCATCAAATTTATCTAAGTAAAAGAATAAGAATCTATCTTTTAAAAATCAGTATTTGATTTCTTAATATTTCTAGTAGTAAATCTTCAATCATGTAACTGTATCTTTAAAAAGTAAAGTTATAATGAAAACCCATTAACTACTTTCAAATATAGCAATCCTCTTGTCCAGCTGTGAAAAGTACTGGATGATACTTATTTGCCATTTGTGTTATTTACGGTCCATGACTTTTATGGTAACTGGTTCCTATTATTGGTTTCTATTAATGTAAAACATAAGTGAACCTAAATGAGGCGTGAATCATTTCTTTTTATTAGCCCCACAGTCTTCACTCAGTGCTAGCAGTACGTCTAGCTGTGTCTTGTTAGTGATAGCCTGTTTAAATTAGAGATCTTTTAGTATAAGGAATATGATTAGGAAGCTTTCCCCATTTATATCACTTCTCTCCTAGCTCAACAATAATGGTGAAAGAAAGAAAACACTATGTAATTAATGGCACAGCAAAACCTTGAGCTGCTTCTGATTTGTTCTGTATGTAGTATGCTACTAATTATACAACTGGTATCAGTAACTGGTAACTAGTAACTTAAAAATAGATTAGGCTGTAAGTTACCACATATTGCAACCGTGGGATTTCTTCTGGCATGTATTTGTGTCATTAACTGATTACTGTTAATATCAGAGTTATTACTCAAAGAAATTTAGGACTTTAAATAAAGAACACTTAAAATAGTTAAATATATGACCCTTCTAGATTTTAGGGCCCACCTAAAATATATGACTTTTCACTCACCTAAAAACATCAATTTGATTTTTTTAAAAAATATATGCTCTGCTGTGTCCATATTTAGGAGGACATTTTGGAAACTTTGCTCAGAATGCTCTTTATTAGTTTCCTTACTCAAAAAAGTAGAGAGGTTTGGATTGGTTGGTTTGGTCATGTTGGTTTTTTTCGGGTTGTTTTTTTCCCTTTATTAGAATAAATTTACATCTTTAAATTAGAAAAGAAGGTAACAAGTTTGCCAGATATAGCATGGAATTAAACTTAATGTAACTGGGTAGGTTTGTTTGATATAAAGCACATTTTTCATATCCCCTTCTACTTTAGAGAACCTCTCTAGAAGGTGATATTCTGTCATGCATTTCCTAATTAAGAGAAGAGCAAATTACTTTAAAAAATAACCTAGTAAACTTTCTATGCTTACTAGATACTCATCTTCCTCAATCATCAGTGACATGTCTAGAATGCTCCATAATGTTTCCTTTATCTCACGATAATCAGGGGCCCTTCCGTGATATGGCTGAAGTATCGCAGCAACGCTACAAGCCTTTGGAGCCAACCTTGCGGGTGGCAGAACCAATCGATGAGTTAAAGAAGGCCCAAGAGGCATTCAAAAGAGAGCAATGGATACACAATGTAAATGATAAGAAGTGAGTTATTACCTTAAAATTACATCTGTTTGATATTTAAACTGAATGCCTTAAGTTTAAGAGTATTTTTATTTCCTCATGAAGAGAATTATGTTGTTGGATTGTTTTGATTGCTGGGTTTTTGTGTGTGCACGCGTGTGTGTGATAAAGGGTGAAGTGATCATTTATCATTACCAAACATAATTTAGCATTCAACTCTTTTAGATGAGATATTGATAGGAACTAAAATGAATATATTATTTAACTGAAAAGGAGCTCTAGTGGCCTAGTGGGTAAGGAGTTGTGCTGCCAGCCCAAAGCAGGAAGCTCAAATCCACCAGCTGTACCATGAGAAAAAGATAACCAGCCCTTTTCAAGTGATTTACAGCCTCTGAAAACCGGCTCGAAGGTCAACTGTAATGTTTCTACCTTGATAGCATGTAACAACAACAGCAAAAAAAAAAGAAAATGAATGGTACTTTAAAGAGGTAAGTGAATAATACTTATGCATCTGTAAAGATAATCTATTTCATTATCTAGTGGAAAATCACCACTGGACCAATTGACAGCATCAGGATGGATGGTGAAGAGATTGAGATTGTTCACAGCTTTAGTTTGCTTGGCTCCACATTCAACATTCTTGGCACCAGCAGCCAGGAAATTAAAAGACGTATTCTATGAGGAGAAATGTGGGGTCAAGATTGGTGGATGATTTACCAACAACCTGCACTATGAGGATGACACAACCCTGCTTGCTGAAACTGAAGAGGACCTGAAGCGCCTGCTGCAGAGTGTCAAGGACTACAGCCTCCAATATG